CACATACATGGACATTATCATTACCTGAGAGTTATGGAAATGTCGGGGGTCAATGGAGGAATATCTTTAATGATAACCAGTTCGGTAGCCATGTGTTATGTGCATACTATTTGTGTTTTTAACACATATAATCTTCTTAGCTTCTCTCTTCTTATGCAGTTTACCCGTTTCCATATGCCCCTTTTTCCCTCTTCCTATTCTACATCCATACTTGGCATTACTAGATTACTTGATTTATATTTAGGAGGGCAGTGTACGTTCTATGTGGAGGGGGTTACATAGGAAAGTACGCAAAGCCACCATTATCACGTACAGTCTTGTATTTATTAAAAGATTTATATTTAGGAGGGCAGTGTACGTTGTATGTGGAGGGAGGGGTTACATAGGAAAGTAAGTAAAGCTTCACTTATTACGTAGACCTTTGTATAGGAGGGCAGTGTATTCCATAATATGTAGGAGGGCTACATAGAAAAGCAAGTCGAGTCTTATATATATAATAGCAAGTTAATGTGGGTGTGATATACTTCATATGTAGGAGGGCTACATAGAAAAGCAAGTAGCGTCTTATATTATAGGATAGCAAGTTAATGTGGGTGTCATATACTCTATATGTAGGAGGGCTACATAGAAAAGCAAGTGGAGTCTTATATATAGGATAGCAAGTTAATGTTGGTGTCATATACTATATATGTAGGAGGGCAACATATAAAAGCAAGTGGAGCCTTATATATATATATGATAAAAAGTTAATTTGTGTTTCATATACTCTATATGTAAGAGGGCTGCATAGGAAAGATATAGCCTAATATATTATAATATACCCACTCCGTAGAGCAGTATATAGGAGGGCAGGGTATTTTATATGGTAAGGCCTACATATGAGCAAAGCACCGCTCACCCTGCAAACTGCATGCAGTGCCCATTCGTACACTCAGGATACTAGGATACCATAGATTGAGCCCATGAGCAAGAGCGCCATCTGTCGTGGAGTTTGCTCACCCTGTAGAGCTTTGTATTGGAGGGAAACGCATTTCGATGCATGCCTATGAAAAGTCCTAGGGGTGGGGTAAAATTTCATGACTCAACTGTTGTAGTGATGAGCAAGGGGCGCAGTTCTTGAGCGACGTCCATAGTGTGGTAGGGGTGGGTCTGAGACAAGACTTTAACGGATAAGTGACCACAAAAATCACGTTAGGGTTATTTACGATTCTTAGATAAGCTTATTTTTTATTTTTGCTCCAAAATCTAGGGGGGCAGTTGCCCCTTGCCTCTCCCGCACCCTAGAGGCTACGACCCTGATATATGTAGTGCTATATAGTAATGTAAGTACAGTAATACATACACACACATTCGTTTCTTATTTTCTTTGCAGGGAGGCGCTGAAGGCGAATCTTCCCGAGCAGGAGGAGACATCGCAGAAGATCATTCTCTCGGGAGGTCCGCAGATGATCCTGTCGTCTCTTCAGTCGCTGTTCTCTCTCGACCGCCGCAGCGAAGACGTCTACATCTACGGTCCGTTCGGTGCAGAGCAGATACGAGCAGTGTACGGCCGCAATGCTAAGTTAGGCTCACACAAAGTCCTCGCTTCCGCTACAGGGTAGAGATTATTAGGTTAAAAGAAATGTCTAAATCTATCCTAGCTCTGGTGCTATAGCCATTGTTACCACAGGGTTACTGTGGCAGCAAGGGCTATAGTACAGATCTAGAGTTTAGATCTACCAGGGCGCTATACACGTAACACACGCGCACGCACGCACACACGCACGCACGCACACACACACACACACAGAGGGAAAGGGAGACAGAGACAGAGACAGACAGACAGAGAGAGAGAGAGCGGGGAGGGAGAGAGAGAGAGAGAGAAAGACAGAGACCGACAAACAGACAGAGAGAGAGAGAGAGAGAGAGAGAGAGACAGAGAGAGAGAGAGAAAGAGAGAGAGAGACAGAGACAGAGAGAGAAAGAGAGAGACAGAAAGAGAGAGAGCGAGATAGAGAGAGAGGGGGAGAAAGAGAGAGAGAGAGAAACAGACAGAGACAGACAGACACACACACACACACACACACACACACACACACACACACAAACACACAAACACACACAAACATACAGAGAGAGAGAGAGAGAGAGAGAGAGGAGGAGAGAGAGAGAGAGAGAGAGAGAGAGAGAGAGGGAGAGGTAGAGAGAGCGAGAGACAGAGACAGAGACAGAAGAGAGACAGAGAGACAGAGACGGAGAGAGAGAGAGAAGAGAGAGAGAGAAGAGAGGGTGGGGTAACGCGAGAGACAACGATTTTACGTCTATGATGAAGTTTTTAGCAAACCAGCTAGAATAGTATATGTAGACGAATTTTATCGTTTGTTATTTTTGAGACTAGATGTCTGTAGACAACAGTTCTCAATGAATCATTCACGGGAAAGAGATCAAAGCGAATATTATAAATGCAAGGATTTAGTATACATACGAGCAAGCGACTAAGCTCTATTAATTATTACTGATTATTATTATTACCATTAATGAACTATTAAAGATCTATATAATAGGCCTCAGTGAGAGCAAGTAGTGGGTAAGGTGCTGCTGCGCCCTCTGCTGGGGGATTTTCCTAAATTAACGAAGGATATAGACAACAGCAAGCAACGACAGCCACGACGTACTCGATCCAGTTTAATTGACTACGTCACGAATGTTCTATGGTAATATATTTTTTAAAATTTAGTTGCAATTTTTTTCCATTCGTAAGTACTAACGGGACTAAATGTATCGTCAAATTCTTACCTGATAAGATTGTTTCTCAACTAGTTGAAAAATCCAAAAACTTGGACGATTTGATATTATTATCCGGATATTAATTGCTTGCTATTGTCTATGTATGAGTCACGAGTTGTATGTTTACATCAAACATATAGGAAAATAGGGAAGTTAATGCCAGCAATTTAACCATAAAAATGTTAACAGAATTACTTACATTTTGTGAAAGAAGTGGTATTATTTTTTTTAGTTTTTACTATTTACGGTGACGTAATTATTTTTAAGGATATATATTTCGACACACAAGGTTTCAAACCGTCTCGTTGTTTTTGCCACTATTACGACACTTTCCTGATATTGAAGTTTAGTAGTTGCTTGTTTATTGACAACTGTCGAGATAAGAATAACTGTTGTCGCCAGAGATACATTTCACTATATTTTTATCAGATTGTGTGATTCTGAGCAATGATTTTCGAAATAAATCTAAACAATGATTCTACTTTAATTTACATTTTTGACAAAAACGATACAGGAAAACCGTACGTGTTCGATTCACGCCCGCTACTATATATATACTATATAATACGAGATGCTGTATAATGCTGAAATGTACTTGCAACACAGTGAGACACAGAGTCCACATGCAGTTGAAACGATTCAATAAAAATTGTGGTAAATAAAGACGATCGTATCTTACTAACCAATGTCTTGATGTTATCGACTCTCTTACGCCTATTATTACTGATAATGTCCTGTAATGCCGTTCAAATGCTTCTCTGCCAATACTCAAGTACATTTGTATCTTTAAAAAGCATTTTTTCACAAGTACATCGTATGTTTAAAAATAAAAATAATGATAAACACGAAATGTATTTAATACCAAAGGCTTATAATTGTTTATCAATTCTCCTTCACTTATTTATTAGTTACAGATTTACAGTGTCCCGTAATGCAGTTTATACGCCTCCTCTGCAACATAAAATTTCACGCCACGCACGTACACCACTATTAATAATTAAACTCGTTCTGTTGAGTTCTCATTATGTATTGTATTATTATTAGCTCTTGTTTACATGTGATAGAAATTGTATACTTCTGTATTATTTTTATTCCTGAATGTAAAAAATGCCATAGAAATCTTTATTTTATTGCCAACCGTATTCCATCCATTATATATAGCTAGAATGGTGTAATATCGTGGCTAAGGCAATAAGACAACCCCCCTCTCCGGGGGAAGGGCACTCACCCCACATTATGGTAGGTATGTTGCCACTGCGAAGCTCAAAAACGAGGGGCCTTGGAAACTAACTCAGACCTGAAAATGGGGGGTCTCAGTAGAACTAATGTTTGTGGTATGTGCCACTGCGAAGTCAAAAATAAGGAGCTCTGGAACTAACACAGACCTGAAAATGTGAGTCTCTGGAACGGGAAGTTTAGGGTGGAAAAAGAGGGGTCTTCCGCAGCACATATACCTACCATGGCAATATATATGGAGTGCCCCGCGTAATAGGCCGCGCGATTGCACATACATGTACATTATCATTAGCTGAGAGTTATGGAAATGTCGGGGTCAAGGGGAGGTTTCTTACTGATAACCAGTTCGGTAGCCATGCGTTATGTACATATTTTATGTGTTTTTAACACATATAATCTTCTTAGCTCTGCTCTTCGTATGCCGACCCGTTCCATATGCCCCATCTACATCCATACTTGGCATTACTAGATTACTTGTATTTTTAAACTATAAAACATATACATGTGTGCACATCAGTAGAGCTATCATCATTATAATTATTATCACATTAGAATAAAAACAATTAGTTGGTATTCACTCCTGATACTTTACTCATTCAATGTAGGAACAAATTTAAAACAATGACAACATTTTTGTCGAAGATCTGTATTAGTTATTATTTTGTTCGGTAGGTGGCGGGGTTGCATGTGATTAGTTAAAAGCGTGTGTTGTGGTACCACCATGGGTAATCATTTTCCATAGGCGGCCATACTTACAAAAAAATTCCCATACTTCAGCAGTGGTTTTTTTTACTAATAATAATGCCATCCTCTAAATCCAAGTCGCCAGTGACACTATATATGTTATTAACCAAAAGATTCTTGCATAATTTTTCGTGTAAACATCATTTTCCCAGCACACATTCGAAATGGCCATATTTACAATGTGAATCTGAACAAAAAAGTATGCTTTTTTTGAAAATTCCCCGGCCGCAAACGCAACGCACCTCGGACGAGCTGTTTACACTGTCGGATTCAGAAAGTATTCTAGTTTCTGAAATTAATAATTGCAAAAAGTTCTAACCTTTTCTAATGAGAAATACAAAATTCAAGCGCATGCAGACACTCATATACGATCTGATTCTGAACCTGTCCCAATGCTTGTTGGTGGATTTGCTATCGTCATACCTTAAGCAGTTGATTTTTTTTCTGCTAAAAATCTTTTGCTTCCATATATGCTAACCTCAACACGTTGTGAGGTCATGGTAAAAAAAAGTTTGTCGTGCATGCCAGTTACCATTTATGAATGAATCCGTGGCACGACGTCCCCTCTCTGTTCGGTCGCCGGCCGGCTAAAACCTCGAATTTCGTCGACTTTCGAACTGCAATGCAACAAAAAAGAAGACGATATCAACTACCAGTTTTTATCACAACGGTGTAGTGGACACCTCTCAATTAGAATTTAACAGTTTTAAGTTTGACCTTTTGACCTCTGATTTTTAAGAATAAATTCCCCAAACCCATGTTTTCGTATATTTTCAATAGTTAATTGCTCATACTAAAAAGAACGTGGCGTCAGTCTGTCTCCATCAGCAGGTGGCCAGCTCGTAGTAACATATCATAGTAAACAGGCAATTAGCAGTAGCGGCATTTCTTATCAGAGAAAAAGTGCTGCACCCCCTTTTAGCTACTGGAAAACGCAGCCTGTGTATTTCGTACAGGGCAATGCTTGCCAGCACTTAACGCAGCAGAAATGACGTAGAACTGATATTTTTTTACTGAAAACCTGTGTAACAGACAACTCTGGTGATGCTCATTCACATTTATTCTCCAGCAGCATTTTGGCTATGCCGGAAATCGCCGAAGAGAGAGCAGTTAAACCAATCATAAATCGCTTGTAAAACACGAGAAATCTGCTCGTCAAAGATTAACCATAACCGTAAGAGGCACCGCCGAGACTGACGCAGCCTCCGAAGAAGCTCGGGACAAGTGCTCAAGGAAACAACGGTTGAAGAGCACTTTCGACTCAGCTGGCACGCAATAGGAATGCAACAGTAGGATGGAGGCGATCGACGCGGACAACCGTTCGAGCGGAGTTGAATTTCTCTAACCTTCTCTGTCCTCTTCACAAGAGCACTTCATAAGTCGCCACCTGGTGCAAAGCAAGAGCAGTGCCAACCTGAGATACAACCTGCTGCAGAATCGAAGATAGGTCGCTTAGCTACAAAACTAGTCTGTCAAAGACTGCGCCGCCCAGTCTTACCTGTGGTGGTGCCGATCTCACGTGAGAAAACAAGGCACAGTAGCAGTGCGAAGAGATCCCTTGCAAGGCTGTCAAGTCTGCAGCATGACCCCATGTACAGGGGAAGAAGCACGAGTTTGCTGTGTCCGCACGCACCTCCAGCAACCAGCCAGTCAGTCTGTAGAAGTACCTAGTAGAACAGGAACAGTGGCTATATGCCCGTCAGCCGGCATATATCTGACGGCTGCCGGCCACGGTCTTCGATTTCCTAAACGCCCGGCAGCTTTTAATTTTCAGTGTTATCTCAAGTAAACAAGGGTTAGGGTTAGGGTTAGGGTTAGGGTTAGGGATGGGGTTAGGATAAGGGTTAGGGTTAGGGTTAGAGTTAGGGTTAGGGTTAGGGTTAGGAACTGCCGGGCATTTAGGAAATCGAAGACCGTGCCCGGCTGCCGGGTATATAGCCACAGCGTACTCGATAACCGTTGCAACAAGTTCGCCTATCTGCATGCATTCTCGTCACACACTGATCTGTACTATTAGTTAATCAGTAATCTCACTTAGAGTTAGGATGTAATTAAGTTTTAGAACACACCGACAGAGTAGTGCAAGCAAGTGGCCACAGACAGCATTGTTGCAGCCGGGCAAACTCTAGAACTATAACTTTTCGGGGGTGTCAATGCTTAGAGTTAGGATGTAAGTTTTAGAACACACCA